GCTCTCCCCATCCACCGAATCCTCTAAAGCAAACATCATAGGCATGGACCAAATTGGTTCAATTCTCGGGGGTTTGGAGCAGGAAGATCAGAAAATAGCATACAAATAAGAAGAAATATTCTTTCCGCCTTCCTGCTAAATTAATGGTATTCGAGCGAAAGAATAGAAAACTTGCACGTAAGTGCATTTATCTCGAGGGAAATTAACGATCTCCCAGTGAGTGAAACCCACACCTAAGATCAGGAACAGTGCCTGGGAAAAACCGAATAAACCAATCCAAACATTCCCAGTTAGAAATCCGAATTGACTACAGTTTGATTCACCCTATCCCCATAGAGCAAACACCCTTGTAACTGACCAACTTTGTTCGCCCCGTGCGGCTGTTCGCTCTTATTATAATTCCAAAAGAGGGCGCTGGTCAAGGATATTTTTTTAATTGAGGATAACAGCTGGGTCAGTAATTTTGCATGCCGAACACAAAAACCTAATCAGAAACGTGCAATCGCAATTCTCCCCGACATGCAGGGTGATGTATAGAGCAGTCAGTAGTTATTGTTCCCAAACATATCACTTGGCCCTTGATGGTCTTACTATATTTGTGATCATCGAAAGTTACCTACTACTTACACGTGAGTAGTATCTCACGACAATAGCACCAACCTAGTTGAAACACGAAGACAAGACGTCCACATGCCTCCTCCTTTCAACGGACGTGTTTGGGATTATCAATGCACATCGTATTTGGAAGAAGAAGAAGTAGAAGCGAAAGAAATCATTTCATCTGGAGGGAATCCATTATCACCGACGATATCGTTAACGGAACTGAACCAGCTTCCACTTCGAACGCGAATATCGTGCACAATTCCGATGTAAATAGTTGTTTTCTCCGTCGTAAACGGGACGCGCTCAACTTCTTTGTCACCGTGATCGTTTACTGTGACTCTCGCCTCTACATCGACCACACACGTGGTGTTTTTGTCTGACGGATACGCCATAAGTGGAAGGAGAAAGTAGCATTCATGACATTGTCGGTAGTGTTTGGCCATTAGCTGGACTGGTTGCACGGTTCACCCACAAATCAGAAGTTAGTTAGTTAGTTAGTTTATATCCAAGGTTGGGTCAAACAACCACCCAAGAGTGTCGATCCACGGGGCAAATTTGGTAACCGAATTTTAAATACATGTAGGAAATGTCCGTGGTCATGAACACTTGTCTGGGACCATATCAATCAACTCACAAATAGAGCCAGGTTCACGTACTTGAAGCCATGTGCACTGCTTTTTCGCCCGAACATCAGTGGTTTGAAGTCCCCACTCCTCCAACAGTACCACATGCCAACTGAACGGTCACTGCTTCGTGGGATTTTCGAATGCTGGCTCACCTTTTGCAACAAACTGCGCGTTGGAACGGCAGAAAAAATGACCAGTTTCACCGCAACTGTTTCATCTTAGTGTTTCTTCGTTATCTTACATTTCCAAATACCATCGCTAATGAGGCTTTTAAACTCCCATAAATAAACACTTAATACCTCAAATGCGTATCTGCACAGTGTTAAAGATATCGAACTGACATAAATGTATATACGACGTAACTCTCATACAAAGATCAACTCAATCGGGAATGGTAAATACGTAAACTTCCGCCTCGTGACGAAGATACGGTTCTTTCTCTCCCACTGATTCCACTCAGCCCCGACCGGACTGACACAACACACATGCGCGTACAAGCAAACAGCAACCCGGATTCCGGATTGACAAAATTATGGATATGTGGCGCAATGTCCGCAAATGCAGTACTCAGCCAAAGCGGAAAACAGCTTGTGAATGGCACAGCTAATTGTAACACTTTCCGCTCACAATGAAAGTGAGAATGCATGCGGATGAAAGCGTTTTGAACGAAAGGATAGAAGCAGATTTCTGTTCGATCGGAATCGGCCTATAGTTCCCCTCCTACGGTTCGGAAACAGATACGAAAGAAATTCAGATTCTGGTGTCACTGATATGTCAGATATGAGTTATCAATAAGCAAACTGGAACAGTCAGGTGAATGAGACATAGATTGATAAATAGATTTCCCGATAAGCGAGCCAAATTAACATCAATGGTTATCTCCGATAAAAAATAGTGGCAACACAGTGATGCATAATTTATTTTCGGGAAAATGTTCTGTGTATCTCCTCAGGTGCATAAGCTACGGTTACCGTATGCTGGTTATCTGTTGCTTCTACGATTCGACCAATTACCTCCTGACGGCACAGCTCAGGCTTCGGCCGTTGCTGTATTTCGCCTCTGTAAACCAGATAACTTGAGAGTTTTACGTGAGGAAAATAGTTTTCAACGGTTTGGTCACATTCACTTGAATTCTAGTCTTTAGAAGATGGAACATGAGGGACAAATACGGAAGTGCACGATTGTTTTGCAACCGCTGTTCAATGGTGTAACGTGTTAGAACGTCAGCTATGCTCACCCAGCGAAGGAACAATATACATGGTCGAACAAGTTTTACTGACTATCCACACGATCAATGGGTTTGGGTAATGTATGAGACTGTACCCACAAAACTTAGGCTTTCTTTAATAAGTAGGCAGTTAGGAACGCGATTTTTAAACCGAATCGTGATATGATTCAAGACAGATACAAGTAATGTAACATGAAACCAGTTTTCGTCCGTGCTTGTGGTAGAAAACAGGCTTGTTGATCAGCTTCGAATCACGAGGATCAACAGAAGAGGAAAGAACCTCAATGATAGTTCATTCAAAATGCGTGAATGGTACGGATAATGAAGCAGTAGGCCGAAACTTTCCGTTTTCTTCTTTCGGTATTGAAGTAATGTGAGCCTCACACCATTTCTCAGCTAGTCTTACTGACTGAATGTAACTGACCTTAGGAACAAATCCAATATAAGACACATTGATGTTCATTTCCGTCGAACTATCTTGCATTTCTGCCGGGAGATAACCATAGTTTATTATTAGATTCCCCACAGTGCTCATTAAGTTTACGCTCAGTCTACGTGCTGACCGCGACCTTGTGGAAAAAATGATCCCCCTGCGATGTTATGTAATTTGTCGATATTCCTTGGGCAACAACACTTTTTTCTGACAACCAATAACTCTTTTCATCAAACGGACCGACTGCGTTCCGTTTCGTGTCGTTCTGCGGGTTGAGCCAGGAATGGGAGAGCTGCAATTAAGGCGTAACTGGTATTGATTATGAGGTCATTGATGAAAAGCGGCCCAGTCTCCAAGGTTCACCCCTACCCATGGCGCTGAGCGCATGTTGCTATTCCCAATAGACCCATGAGCCACGTAATGAAAAGTACATCGATTGGAGGACAACATATGCATTTAACTTGTCTCTAGTCGTAATGACTGTGGTAAGGTTTGATGATTGAGCAACGTCTGAGCCACTGTGACCAGTTGTACTTTAGCTGTGGGACGCACGAAACTGCGTCACCATTCGTGCTTATCGAGTCGGGTCCAGCCTAGCTGTCTCACGGAAATCGAACGGCTTCACTGACCCAGAGAATAAACGTCTGTCAGCGACCTTGACAACGTGCACGATTGAGGTCTCAGTTCAGTTCAGTTTGTGCAACCATTAACCACGCATATTCGTGCGCCGGTTTTGGTTGCCCAATTGGATGAAGAACAGGAGAAGAAAGGAAAGTTTAAAGTGGGGTCGAACAGAAAATGGAGGTCTGCCTCCTATCATCACGGAAGAAGCGTAGGGGAAGACAGGAGATAGAAAAAACGTGTGATCAACTGACCAATGAGGTGCGCTGAACGGAAGCAAACCCAACCAGTGTTTCCTTTTCAATTCAAAGTGATGGTTTCTCGAAACCATCCTAGAGCGGTTTAGATCTCTTGTGTTTATATCACTGCTCGCATAGAATATCCAACTTGATCAAGAGAATTAGGCTC